GTATGCATGGGACTAATTTCCTATCCTCCTGCACTTTTTCCCCTGGGATATGATACAAAAGTGGACAAACAATTCAATGTTGGGAGTATGAATTCGAGTTGTTGAGGGAAAACTATGACCACCCTCCCTAATGCCTGCACATGCACTCTTTGCATCTGGGGTGTCGATAAATGCTACGACCCAAACCTCTTACCTGCACTCTCTGACCTTCATCAATCATCTTTCTTATCTTCCCCTCGAAACTGTGCCATCCAATGGTCTTATTTCTTGACAAAATTGCAGAAAGCCTCTTCTTGCTTGGCCTCAATGTGGGAGCATGACCACCACCATAATATGTTCTGAATCCCGACACGAGGGATGATAGCTGACTTCCCGAGTCTGTCATGGCAAATACATCAGATGTTGCACACGCGATGAAATCTAATGCTGCAAGCTGCATTAAAAGTGATAGTTTTTGTTGTTAGAATCACACATAAGGGAGTGTGTGTGTGTTTATCTCCATCACTTAAAATAGGAAACAACTTACTTGAGAAGAAAAGTTTCTAAATGGAGCTAGTTCACTTGGTGTGAGAAGATCTTCCTTGGTCACTAGGTTGGGATAGAGGGTAGTTAAAGCTTGCATCCTTGATTGACCTCCATATATGCCAGAACCAGCAAGATAGATGTATGTTCCATGTTTGAAACCGAGGCCAGCGAGAACTAGTCCTGCTTCTTCTGGTGTCAATGGACATTTGCCCGTCTTTCTTAGCTCCTGTTGAGAAAGAGGCCTGCAGACACCACCAAAATATGGTCAATTGAACTATCACACAAACCATGTTAAGCCAAATGGTGGAACTGATATAGAACATAAACTATACTTTGATTTCTTCAGACGCTCAAGAAGTAAAGGAAAATGGACTTCTCGATAAGATTGGAGTTCACTTCTCTCAGTTTCTCCGCCACCAAATTCACACATAGAGTAGGCCACCATATCAATCTCAAACCTTAAATGCAAAGCAAGGTACTTGGAAGGGCCTTCTGCTGCATGATAGTGTCTCAAGGGAACATGAGGGATTAAGTTTCCAAGAAGTTGCTTATCCAATGTGCTCCTAGCAAAATCATACCTCCGAATTCGCCTAACCAGTAAAGAACCTATTTGTTGGATCTCTGGCACAAATTTCAAGGCATGGAAGTTGCACTTGCACCTTAGTCTCTGCAACAAAATACAAATTTGTACTATAAACAAGAACATAAAACCAACATACCATCATTGATAATTTTTACAATGTCCGAAGCATTTGAAGCACAAACTAGACATTAACTTGCAGATGTCATTCCAAACTTGCATCTACCCTATAGACAATTGAACAATTTTAAAGAATGCTCTTCACCTGAAGTTCATAAGGCAACGGGTCAAAGCCGAGTCTATTTCCATATCCTAGAAAGTGAACAACTCGATTGCGTAAGAGGAGGGGTAGTATTTTCTTGATGTATTCATCAGGTGTAGCTTCCTTTGAAAGATCTGCATCAGTTATCTAAGCAAAGGTGAAAGGTATCATATGTTATCCTCCAAGTCAATACAGTTTCATGTCCCAACTTTTTAACTAAAGAAGAAAACATACAAGACTTCCAGCTGCTTCCACATCTAGTAGTTTCAAATTAGGAGGGAGCTCCTTTATAATATTAACTTCATCCTTCAACATATCCATGAAATAGTCCTCCTGATATATATCCCCAAACTGGCTGTTCTCATACACACAAAAAAAGGTGTGATAAGCTTGCTGTTAAGTTAAACTAAGTGGTGGAAGGGACGTAGGCTACTGATTATTTTGGTAGTAGCAAAAATCTAATGCAAAGAAGAAGAAAATATGCAATTGAAAAAGATGAGTCTGTCTATCAAACCAAAAATTTATGGAAAAACAAGAAATGGATCTTCTGTAGAAAAGTTGAAGCTCATTTGATCCCAAAAGTTAAAAGAGTTCAAGCGCGATACAATTTTCTTCAGATCAATGCATTAAATGTAATAACATTCATGAAGCAAAGCCTTTTGTAGAGCTTAAATTGAAATCTGTAACTATTTAATTGCTGAAACTAAAACAATTTTTTTTTCTGTGAACTAACCTAGGATCCTTCCAGACATTGCTATAAAGAAACTTGGGAATGACCAAAGTGGCATTTAGGAGAGATGCTACAGCAACAGCATTGCAGACCTGCAAGCACAATTACAAAATTTCATTTCACGATCGAATAACCAAACATGACAGTCCTTATCAAGTAGACTCAACTGTACAACTTGGCTAAAAGTTGAAAGGAAAAACAAGTTTATACACTTACAGCAACTCTTTGTTGATTTAGTCCTCCATTTGCACTGATCAATATATAACCAGTGATGTTTCTAGGTTTCCCTGCCCTGACAACTTACAACAATTATACCGCAATTCAACATTCAAAGGGAGAATCACACTTTCAAATATGATCAGAAAATTGAACAAATTAAAGATGTATATAGTAAACAACATAATTCATGCATGAGCAAACTATACATGAAAAAATATCCTATTACCATGTGGACTAGTTTTATCTGCACAAGGTTTCCAAGATGATGCCTGAGGATATGGCTCCTCCCATAACTTTGATGACTCTTGCTTGAACTCCCTCTATAACAATTTAAGGAAATTCAAATAAAAGATAGATGTTAAGATCGTCAGTTACTATCGTTTTAAATGCAATTTCCAAATGAAGTTAATCAAGTTAAGTATCACAACAACCTCTGCAAGAGAAGAAGCAGCCAGATTTAGTAGCCTTTCATACAGCTTCACCGGACCTTCTTTTGCTGCCCTCGGTACCATTTCAACCTTCAGATACAAAATTAGATAGCAAATTAAAGCTCATACTATTCTGAGAAACATGCCTACTGGTTCCATTCGGTACACTAAGCACTTCGGCATAAACTTAGTGCTAAGAGATTTTGGGAATCACAATGTCATACCTCGGTCTTACTCGAGCCTTGTAAAGAAAAATTACTCTGAAGCATCGCGGGGTCAAAAATCGAGAACAGAAGAGAATCCAAAAGGTAAAGAAAGCCCATTAACAACAATGTGAAAACAATAGACCTAATATGTCTATGCAGCCACCACATTTGCCTCTTTCCAACATAAACTCCTTTACAAGGAGTGAACTTCGCAGAGTCATTTTTCATCCCTTTGGTCAAAACAACTTTGTCCCAATTGTATTCTCCTCCTGATAACCTTCTTCCTATAGGAGGATCACCTCCATGTTGCAAATCTAAACTTCGAAATTCATGTTCTTTTACCCCAAATGATATATCTAAATCCTGGTTCTCCACTCGACGGCCTCTAGGAGAAGACCCTTGTTTCCCCATTTTGTCACAACTAATAGCTCAGAAAATTGGAGTTCAACTTAACAGAAGCAAAAATCAGTTACACTATCTCCCCAACTATATTACATTTGTTTTTGTGAAGACCCCATTTCAAGAATTAGTCTTCCATTGGAGTTTGTTGAAAAAGTTATAAGAAAATTAGATAAAACTGAAACGTCTCTATGCATAAATTGGAAGTAAAGTTAAAGAAATTGGTGACTGACACACACAAACCAAACCAACAATGGGTCATGAAAAAATAACGTATGAGTAAAATTTAAGGCATTTAAAAAAGTTGAATAGGACATATACAAATAAAGAGAATTGTCATCTGCAACAACTACTTCTCACCAAACTGTGAAAAAGTCTGGTCTTTATTTGGTGTTCTTTACAAGGAAGAACCCTTTACATGGCATCAGGGATTATTATAAGTACTGCAATTCTTTCATTCATATGAAAAAGCTTATATTATTGTTTTTTTTATTTTAAATTCGCTGTCATTGGTGGGGTCTTTTTAACCAACTTTGGATACCAAACGGTTGGGTTGCCCCAATTTACTGTATTTTATATTCTCTAATTTTGTTAATATTTTTATTTATATTTTCTTCTACTCATTTTTATTTTCTACATCTTTTATACGAATAGAAAGATAAAGTTCTGTACTTCTATATTTTCCTATATCCATTGGCACAAAATGTGTGCGAGGCTTTTGTTATTTAATTGTATTGTCAACATAAACATCATAAAGGAATAGTGTTATGCAAGAGTTTTCTTAATTTTTTTCCTACGATACTGATTTGAATTATTCGTTGGACAATACCTAAATCTCAGGAGATCAATGTTCATGTCCAAGCCAAGACAAAATATATTACTCCCTGCGTTTCAACTTGTTTGTTCTATTTTCCTTTTTAGAGGGTGTTTAGATTGGATTAAAAGTTGGTCAAACCTATTTTTAAGTCAGCTTTTGATTTCTAGAAGTGTTTGACAAATATAACAATAACTTTAAAATAAGTCAAAAAAGGACTTGAAATAAATTAGGAAGTGTTTCGCAAGGTTAAAACAAAAGTAACTTAAAATAAGTTAAAAACCAAAGGTAGGCCTCCCCTACGGTTTAATTTTTTGACTTAAAAGTCATTTAAGTTTGACTTTATATTTTGACTTAAAAACTACTTTTTTAAGCCAATCCAAACGGGCTCTTAGTCAGTTTAAAAAAAACCGTCTTTACTTTTTTGGCTACTCTCTTGTTTCAACTTTCTACATCACATATTTAAGATCACAAGAGAAAAGAGAATTTTGACACATTCAACTTAATTTTAATTTAAAACCACAAGATTCAAAAGTCTTTTTACTTTCTTACACTATGTGAAGTTAAAACATGACTAACAAATGGAGGACCGGAGTGGGTGATTTCTTCCATTCTAAGTATTAGAGGACAAAGTTACTTTATCTTTACTTGTGTTGGTGAGAGGTAGCACATAAGATAGTTGAGATGCATGTAAGTTGGCCACACACCACATCTTCTTCTTTTTCCGCTCAATTGAATGGTTCAGCAAGAGATGAACTTTCTAAAGTAAGATATTGAGGCCTTTAAGACTTCGTATGTTCATGAGAAGTTCAATTCAACAACTTGACAGTAATATAAAAATATACAACCATCTTTCTCAATCCTTTAGTGATTTATTACATTTTCCAACATAGTTCTGATGTTCTTCAGTTGAGCAAGAACATGTTTGATATTCATTCTTTCCTCTGGCAAGTCTGCAGTGCACCTCAGAGCTAATTCCATGATGGATGATAAGCACTGCACCTTTCCTGTTTTGTTCTTCTCCCCTGGTATCATAAGCTCGGGGTCTATTATCTCGTCCATTCCGCGTGGCCATGATTGTCTTATCCACTCCCTCAGGCTTAAATTTTCAGCAAACATTCCATCCGTTGGTTTCTTTCTCGTAAAGGTTTCCATCAACATGACACCGTAGCTGTAAATGTCGCACCTTGTAGATACGAGTCCTTCCAATCCAAACTCTACATTGAAATAAAACAATTGATCAAGAGAATATGGTATCTTTAAAATGGTTGAAATTTGAAGGAGAAATGAAGCTTGTTGACATGATTATTACCTGGTGCAATGTATCCAATGGTTGCAAGTGTTTTGGTTTGTACAATACTTTCTCCTACCCTTAATAGCTTTGCCAGGCCAAAGTCACTCACATGTGCAACCATATCTTCGTCGAGCAAGACATTGCTAGGCTTTAGATCACAGTGAACTACGGGCACAAAATAGCCTTGATGAAGATAGTCTAATGCTGATCCCACATCAATCATTATGTCTACTCTCTTCATTATATCTAAGGAACAAGTTTCAGAATGAAGCCAATCATCCAGGCTTCCCTTAGGCATGTACTCTAATACCAAGGCTTTGAAATCAATGCTGGAGCAACTATTGATGACTTTGGTCAGATTTCTATGACGAAGGTTGCGTAAGACTTCACATTCTGTGTCAAAACTCTTGAATGCGCCTTCTGTTTGCAAGTTGAATACCTTAACGGCCACTATAGTACTCCCAAATGTTGCTTTATAAACAGAGCCATAACTTCCAGAGCCGAGCAAGTTGCTTGTACCGAATCTGTCGGTTGCTTGTTGAAGGTCATAGTATGAAACTCTTCCATGTACCGTGGCTGGAGAGGCATCCGCCTGATGAGTAGCAATGTTTGTCTTCCTCTTTCGACTTCTAATCACCAAAAATATGGTGAGCATGACTGAGAGCATTATGACTGAAGAAGCCACCAACAAGATCAACACAATAAGAAGCACCTTCTTTTTTCTTTTCCTACTAGGAGAATTAGACCTACATGCTGGTATCTGCAACCTAGCAGCACCACATAATGCCTCATTTGAAAGGAATGAATCATAAGAGAAGTTCACGAAAGGACCTCCAATTGGAATTTCACCACTCAATCTGTTGTTAGATACATTAAGATAGTTGAGATGTGAAAGAGCTACCAATGATTTGGGAATGCCACCAGAGAGCTTGTTATGAGACAAGTCTAACGATTCCAAGGTGATCATGTTCCCCATTGACTCTGGAATTGGCCCTTCTAGTCTATTTTCTGCAAAAGAAAGTTCAGCCATATTTTGCATGCCTCCAATTGTGCTCGGTATACTTCCTGAGATTTGATTCTTCGATATATTCAGCAATGTTGCGACTTTCAGATTTCCAATTTCTGGAGGTAGAGAGCTTTTCAAGGAATTTGAGGATACATCAAGATGCAAGAGATCATTGAGGTTCCACAGGCTGGGAGGTATGCTAAAAGTCAATTTGTTGGAACCTAGGTAAATGTATCTAAGAGATGTAATGTTCCCTAAACATGCTGGTATAGAACAGCAAAGCTCATTATTTCCCAAGCTCAAGAATCCTAATTTCTTTAAATTGCAGAGTTCCTCAGGGATAGGTCCACTTATCATTTTGTTGTCATACAAATTCAAGGCTTGAAGATTCTTTAAATTCCCTATTGTTCTTGGAATGAACCCACTCAAGTAATTGCCTTGAAGTAACAAGAAAGACAAACCACTTAAATTTCCTATTTCATTGGGAATGTAGCCTCTGATTTCACTATTAACAGCATAAATGTAGTCGAGAGAACTTGAGAGATTTCCAATAGAAACCGGAAGATTTCCATTGAGTGGATTATAACCTATCCACAATTTTCTCAAATGTCTGCAATTTGTCAAGGAATCAAAGAAAGTCAATCCTGGAGATGAAGGCTCTCTTGTGAAATGATTGCCGTTCACGTTGAGGTACTCTAAACGTCTTAGATTACCAAACGACCTCGGAAAATGACCAGAAAAGTCATTATATCCAATTCCAAGCCGGAAAATATTGGAAGCATTTGAGAGAGAATTAGGGATGGCTCCAGTAAGGTTATTGTAACCAAGATAAAGTTCTTCAAGATTAGGAAGACCAAGTCCTATATCTGATGGTAGACTTCCAGTAAAGAAGTTCCCTAAAAATGAAATGCCCCTTATGTTTGACATGTTGAATATTGTAGATGGAATAGGACCTGTTAAGAAATTGTAATGTAGATCTAATCTTCCCAAATTGAAAAGATTACCAATCTCCCTTGGTAACTCACCTGATGACATTTGAGTGACTTATTAGGATATGAAAAACATAGGAACATACACCAAATAATGGAAAAAGAAAATGACAAAATGATACCTGTTAAGTTGTTTTCTCTTAGGAAGAGGTCAGAAAGTGAACTGCAGTTTCCAAATTCTTTTGGAATGTTTCCACTGAATAAATTATTCCCAAGATCGAATGCTCTGAGATCAGGCATGTTCAAACATATATACTGGGGCAAGGTGCCAGAGAGATTATTGCCATAAAGATTGAGTGATTGAAGTGAAGTTAAGTTACTTATAGAAGATGGTAAAGGACCACTTAGGCTACAGTTCTGTGCATCCAATATCTCTAGATTACGAAGATTTCCAATCTCTTCTGGAATTTCACCTGCAAATTAAATCATAAATAGAAAGTCTACTTTATGCAGTATAGCAATTAAGGAGTGCATACATGATTCGAGAAATATGTTTCATGTATGCACAAAAAAGGAACAAAAAACACAAATATGTATAACTCACCTTTTAAATCATTGCGACCAAGATATAAAATAGACAGCATATTCAAGTTCCCAATCTGTTTAGGTATCAATCCACTGAACTTGTAGAATGACAATGACAAAATATGAAGCTTTGAACATTTATCTATCCCCAAAGGAATTTGACCATCAAATTCATTGTCAGAAAGTGCAAGCACCATAAGTTCTGGAAGGTTCAAGCATATATCGACAGGAAGATTTCCAGACAAACTATTTTTTGTCAAAACCAAACGTTGTAACGATGAAATGTTGTACAGGCTAAGTGGTACAGAACCTGTTAGCTGATTTGATCCCAAGCCCAACCAAGTCAAGTTCTGAAGATTACCAATTTCATTTGGAATTTCCCCTTGTAACTGATTAAATCCCAAGACTAAACTCTCAAGTTTGGAAGCATTACAAATATCTGGTGGAATAATACCTGTGAAACTGTTAAAAGCTAGATGCAAGTGCTGGAGTTCTGGCAAAAGAGAGAACCATGAGGGAATATCTCCAGTGAACTTATTAGAAGTGACATTTATAAACTCCAATCTATGCAAATTAGCCAACTCTCGTGGCAGAATTCCTTGGAAGCCGTTGCTACTGATATCGAGAGAAACCAAAAAGGACAGATTTCCCAAGTGAGGAGGGATGGTGCCTACTAATCCCATATTGGAAACATCCAAGGTTATAACTCTTTGATGGCGAGAGCCGCAGGTGACTCCAATCCAATTGCAAACAGAAGTAGTTGAGGTCCAGTTGCTTGTCAAGATATCGTAAGTATCAAAAGTAACATAGGATTTCAAAGCAAGTAGAGAAGCTTCATCAGTTTTGAGATTGACTTCTGCAGTGGCTGATAATATCAGCAAATGATGCCATATTGAAACTAAGAGAGGGAAAAGGAAATTGATTTTTCTCTTCATGGTTGTGTACATGTTGAATACAGTATGTTTGTTCCAGTAAACACTAAAGTATAAACCCCATTACACATAAATGATTTTTTAAAATACAACTGAATAAAGAATTCAAGCAATTGTTATCTTTAGGGTCAATCAAGAGAAATGGAGGAAAGGGACAAACAATGATGATGTTAGAATTGAATTCATTAGTATTTTCCATCTTTCAAACATAATGGACTGATTGTCATTCTTGAATTCATTAACATATAAAAATAGGTAGTATAGAAACAGACCAAATAAAAGTCAGTACTGATTGTTAATTACTGGAGTACTACTTAATTTAATATACCATTTTGAAAACCAGAGTCACCCTTTTGGACAAACATAACATGGCTTTTTCCCATTTCTTGGTTATACCGCAATATGAACTCAGGATGGGTAATATTTACAAGTATGTCTACATGTTTGACTTAATAATTAGAATGGTCCACAACATTAGAATTCTTTAATCAAACTTAGCAAGTTATTAAAGAAGGCTATATTAATCAAGTATTTTATTATAGATTTCCCCTTATTATACATATAAATATTAATATAATGAACAGAAACAGCTAAGGAACAGGAAATACTACAAGTCAAATTACTGGATAGAGGAGCTGAGATACAGACAATCAATTCTTGGACTTTGAACCTTAAAAAATCAGAAACTAATATGAACATGTCCATGAGTGGTAATGAACAAATTGTTGGTTACAAAGTCTTCATGTAATTGTAACTTTAATTAGGGTTACTACAGAGTTTTACCACTTTTTAACCAGATTCTGTAAAAAAATTTTACTATGTCGGATGTTCGTGCTCTTAACTTAAACTTGAAAGAAAAATTAGAAAAATAAAAATAGCTTGTTTCATGGTTGATTACTTATTGGAATTTTTTCACAGATAACAGTATTTATACAACAAATTATGACGATATTATTGAGTTTTCAAAACATAGCAACAATTGTTTTGCAATTTATATCATACATACACCAGAGTTATTTAGGGATGACAATGGCCGGTAGATGTGGCTCTTCCTTACCCTGAGGAATAGAATAGTAGAATACCAATAGACACCTTTGGTTTGTACTTTGTATTTTTAATAGGCATGATTACTTTGTATTTTGATTCTTCCGAATTAATTACATAATTGATTGAATTATCTAAATGATTGTTAGTTACTTGAGCCAAACACTAATTGTGAGTATAAAATTTATTTCATGAGAATTAGGAAAAAGCAATATGGAACCAAACAGGCCAAAATTCATAAAAGGATCTCAATAAGAATAGGAAAATCCCATATTACAGTGTTACAGAAAAGAATCTTATGCAGCTAGAAAGGAAAACAGACCAGGTTTGCAGCTAAAAAGTTAACCAAACACTTTCTGTACCCTCAAGTGACATGAATCAAATGTCTTTATGCACTTGCAAAACATGAAAGAAGTTGAATCTTGATCTTTTGTAGTATTCCTACAACATCTTTCATGTTGATCCTTTCTTCAGGAGATTCAGCAGAGCAATCCAGTGCCACTTTCATGATGGATGCTACACAATCTATCTTGTCCATGAATTTCTCATCTTCTGGCGTTAGCAAATTCGAATCTACAACTGTGATTGTTGCCTCTGGGAGTGAATCACTCACCCATTTCTTTAAACTAAGATCTTCATCAAATATTTCATCATTCGGCCTTTTCCTCGTAAATGTTTCCATCAGCATGATCCCGTAACTATAAACATCACATTTTAGCGACACCAATCCTTCCCTTCCATACTCTACAGTAAAATCACACTTATGGATTATCATTTAATCCGAGAAAAGGAAAATGAAGATAGGATACTGAAACAAGAAGTATAAGAGATTTACCTGGTGCAATGTAGCCGAATGTTGCTAAGGTTTTAGTGTGTAAATCACTCTCATCTTCACTGAGTAGTTTAGAAATGCCAAAGTCACTTACATGAGCTACCATGTTTTCATCTAGCAAGACGTTGCTAGGCTTCAGATCACAATGAATCACAGGTGTTGAGCAACCATGATGGAGATGTTCCAATGCACATGCCACATCGATCATTATGCTTAGTCTTTTCAGGATGTCTAAGAAGTAGTTGTGCGAATACAACCACTTTTCAAGGCTCCCATTAGGCATGTACTCGAGCAATAAAGCCTTGAAATCAAGGTTGGAGCAACTGCTAATGACTTTGGTGAGATTCCTATGGCGAAGGTTGCGAAGAACTTCACATTCTGTTTCAAAACTCTTGAATGCACCTTCAGCTTGTAGGTTGAACACTTTAACTGCAATGGTAGTCCCATCTCTGAGAATTCCTTTGTAAACAGAACCAAAACTCCCTGAACCAATGAAATTACTCTCACTAAAATCATTAGTGGCTTGTATGATTTCATAGTATGAAATTCTTGCCATTGTAGCTAACAAATCAGCTTCAACTGGAACATTTCCTTCTCTTCTGTACCTCATCCACATAAATGCCAATGTTACAAAAACAATTATCACAGCAGCTCCCAGTAGAGGAAAGACTATCAGAAGTAACTTCTTCTTCTTTGATCTATGGTTTGAAGAAGTGGGGCACGGAGGGACACGAAATCTTGGAGCACCACACAATGCTTCATTGAACATGAATGACTGGCTGGAAAGGTTCTTGAAAGGACCACTAAAGGGAATTTCACCCTGCAAGCTGTTGAAGGAAACATTGAAATAGTTTAGATACCGAAGCTTCTCTAAGGACATTGGAATTGATCCAGATAGATTGTTATTCGAGAGGTCTAGAAATTCCAAACTCGGTATGCTACCAATTGAGTCAGGTATAGATCCTTGTAGCTTGTTTTGTGCCAAAGAAAGGTGTATCAGATTTTGCATGTGTCCAATTTCTCTTGGAATACCATTTGAAAATTGATTATGCGAAAGATATATACGAATTGCAGCCTTTAGATTTCCAATTTCTACAGGTAAAGAACCACTCATGTTGTTAGACGATAAGTCGAGCTCCAGAAGATCTTTGAGGTTACCTAAGCTTGATGGTAAATTAGAACTCAATCTGTTGGAATTGAGTTCTATCTCCCTTAGGGAAGTAACATTCCCTAAACATTTAGGAACAAGTCCTGAGAATTGATTTTCACCCAAGTATATGTTACCCAAGTTCTGCAATTTACATAGGCTATCTCCAATAGATCCTTTTAGCCTGTTGTTAGCCAAAGACAATTGCTGAAGCCTGCCTAAGCTGCCAAGTGTCTCGGGTTTTGGTCCAGTCAAGCTGTTCCCATTTAAATACAAGTAGATTAAGCTGCTTAAATTCCCTATATCATTTGGAATTCCACCTTTAATTTGGCAATCAGAAGCGAAAATCTTTTCAAGAGAAGTTGAAAGGTTCCCAACTGAGGCTGGAAGCATACCATTTAGAGGGTTAAAGGAAAGACTCAGTTCTTTCAGATTTCTGCAGTTTGTCAATGAAGTTAAGAAGCTAAGTTCTTGAGAAGACTGATCACTGCTTAAATTGTTTTCCACCAAGTTTAGGGTCTCTAGGAGTGTCAAATCTCCAAGAGAGTTGGGAATCGAGCCGGAGAGTTTGTTCAGTGAAAGGTCTAGAACAGTTAGTTTTGAACAGTTTGAGAGGGAATAAGGTATACTCCCAGCAAGGTTCGTTACACCAGCTAGATAAAGAAGTTCAATGTTGGGAAGCATAGAACCTATATTCGGTGGGAGGGTTCCTGATAGAGTACAATCTGTAAGATCAATCAATCTCAGTCCTGAGATATTGAAAATCCCCATAGGAAATGAACCACTGAATCTGTTACTCCCCAAAACAAAGTCCACCAACTCAATGAGATTGCTTAGCTCTTTTGGTATTTCACCTGCCAAAATTATATAGTACTAATGATCTTTAGCTAGGGATTTTAATGTAGAAGATGTACATTTATATTTTATTGTCTGTATACCTGAAAGCATGTTTTCACCAAGATATAGACCTTGAAGCATAGTAAGATTTCCAATCTCCCTCGATAAGGATCCAGTAAGATTGTTGCTTTGCAGTGACAGAAGTTGTAGTGAGGAAATATTGAATATGGACTTGGGTATAGAGCCTGTAAGCTGGTTTCTCTCCATGCCTATCATCACCAAATTAACAAGATCCCCAATTTCCTGTGGTATTTCCCCTGCAATCATGTGACACTAACTTGTATAAGCAGCTTAAAAAAGCAAAAAAGGAAGACTTCATACAAAATAGAACACCTCGTATCATACCTGTGAAACGGTTAAAACCAAGATATATTAGTCTGTAAGTTACTTAACATCCCAATTTCACTATGTATCGGTCCATCAAATTCATTATTCGATAGAGACAATACCTGAAGTTCATAACATCTAGACAAGCTTGGTGGCATATGACCTTGTAGCTTATTCAAAGAAAGATAAAGCCCTTTGAGTATTGGAAGATGATCACATAAATCAGCAGGGAGGTCACCAGATAAACCATTTTTGGTAAATCCAATAGTCTCAAGTGTGGAAATATTGAAAATTGAGAACGGTATAGAACCTGTAAGCTGATTAGTTTCTATAGTCAACCAGTTTAGGTTGTGAAGATCACCGATCTCATTTGGGATGTTTCCATGAAGGAAATTGTAAGAAAGAATCAATGTTTCCAGCTTCGTGGCATTTGAGAAGGACGGAGGAACAGAACCAGTAAGATTGTTATGTCCCAGGTTTAAACCCCTCAAATTCTTAAGATTTCCAAAGTCTGTTGGGATCTTTCCCTCTAAAGCATTGAATGCTAAATCCAAAGTTGCAAGATTGGAAATGTTAGAAAGTGAATACGGGATTAAACCAGTAAAACTATTATTCCTAAGAGTAAGAACTTGAAGTTGAGCTAAGAAACCAAGCCAAGGAGGAACTACACCACTAAAATTGTTATAACTCAATCTCATAATCTTCAATCTACGCAAATGAGCCATTTCTTGAGGCAGATTGCCATAGAAATTGTTGCTTGTCAAGTCAAGAGAAACAAGAAATGTGAGGTTCCCAAAAAGTTGCGGGATGGTTCCTGTTATATCCATGTTGGAGATATTCAAGGAAGTCACTCTGTTGTGCCTAGAGCTACAAGTGACTCCAATCCAATTGCAAACAGAAGTGTCCTGAGACCAGCTTTTGGACAAGAGCTGAAAAGGGTCAGAAATGATCTGAGATTTCAAGGAAAGAAGCGCGAACTGATCAGTCGTAATATTGGTTTCTGTCTTGATGGCTAAGCTAGTTACTATACATTGAAGCAACAAAAATGCTAATTGAGAATAGAACAAGGATTTCTCCATGAGTGTCATTGCTTTGAAATAATGCAATGAGAATTTAGGATATATAAAGATCAAGGATGTTTCTTCTCAAAGAGTTTTATTTAGTAATGTTTGTATATGTCTCATTCTTCACAGAATTAGATTGGACTTTCCATTTTAAACTGTCTCTTTTTTTATTTATTTTTTATTTCCATCCAGTCTTCGAAGTCCACATTGAAGCATTAAATTCATATTACGCACCATAGGGCTCATTCGGGAATAATGCTTCCAACAAATTTTTCTCCATACCAAGGACGTCGAACCGAGACCTCTGGTTATGGGTGGAGTAATCCCACCACTGCACCACAACCCATATTGGTTGTTTGAAACGGTATCTTGATAGACTATGACATGATTGGTTTGTATGGTATACTTCTTGGGGTTAATTCTCACAACTGCAGCAGTGATAGAGACTGTTTGAGGGAAAAAAACCAAACTACATAAATTTGAAGATAATCATTCCTGAAGTCAATTAAACGCCGCAGAACAGTCAAAGGGGACCTTACGATTCATTAAATATGACGATTGCAACCGGCCTTAGTACTCTCTGTTGAATCTGATAAAAAACTACTTAAAGTTGCACATTAGGATTTGAAATTTATGAATTTCTAATAATCTGCTAAGCGTAAGCGGTTTTGCACAAAAGTTACTAGGTTTTGGAACCCATACCTAATACCCTAGATCCGCCCTTCTATGATTCTATGCACCCAATACCTCCGGTAGGTGAAACTAATCATGCATTATTAATATATGCATACCTCAAAATAATTACCAAATGACTCCTAAGGGGTCGTAAGGTATGGTTTTAGATGTGAGTTATGCAAGTATTAAAAATATCATGTTTGATAATTGATTAGGAGTTAAGTTATTCATGTATAAAATTAATATGATATTTGGTTTGAAATTTAAAAACAAGCATAACTAATATATGAATAACTATATTCCGTATAACTAATATATGTATAAAGCAACACATAGATTTTATCATAACTTACCCATGCAAGTATTATTTATGGGATTAGTTATTCCATTTTCTACTCCACATAAAATAATACATCAATTTGATCATAACTTATACATGTATTAATTATGCAAGATTCTAAATTGTAAATCAAAAGTGACTTGCTACCAAATGAACTCTAAATGCTTACGTTCATTATAATGAATAATTTAAGCAGGCCCACTTTAGAGTCAATTAAGAAAATGGAGGAAGGTGACAGAAAATGATAAGAGTAGTATTTACATGTTGACTTTCTTTCATTATTTGTACGCTCACAAATCCAAGAAAGATAAGAGAGTTACGCATCTAATTGAATATGTCTTCGTTACAAGCTTCAGATTCTACCAATATACTTTTCTCGTTATTTAAATTCTTTCTTATCGTTTAAATCTATTATTAGGTAATAACGAAAAGATCCATTTAGTGTGATTGCATTTATTATCTTAATATTTTCATCTCATTTTGTCTTTATTTATTTATTTAATAATCACATTTCATCTTCTATCCTACCTAATTTTCCTAGTAGCTCTATCCGTACCTTACTTTTCTCGTATGTTTATCATTTAAATTATAAATGTGTGACCTTATGTAATAACGAAGAACGATACAATCTATCCAAACATTATATTCATTAAAATAATACAATACAATACATTTTGAAACAATATATAACAATTATCCGAACAAAGTGTTAAAGTCGAACTACATCTTATAAAATGAGACCGAGCTAATACATGTTTATTTTCTAAATGACAAAAAGGTACTCATTTATTAATGTGTTTCTAGTGTTCAATAGGGGCATTTAAGGAAAACAAAAAAAAATGGGGATTGGGTATCATGTTCGTATCCCTCCATCTTAATCTTTTGTATTGTTCATCGTTCAATCAACAACAGTTGCTGAATCCTTCATCCATTTTGTATTTTCTTCCCTTTAATTGCATAAATATCAAATGACTCATTCTCTAGCTTTAACTTCTACAGCCCTAATTCGATACGGTATTGGTCCAAAAATTGGGGCTTTACCTAGGGCAAATAAGCCATCGAGATCATCTTCAAGATTATTCAGAATTCAAGCTGTGCAAGATAATGGAGAAGGGCCTCGGAGGCTGATTGATATTATTCGGATAGTTCCAGAGATTTCGAGAAATTATTTCAAAACTCCTTCACGGAGGGCACTTTTTGGAGGTATATCATTACTGGGTGGATTTTATGTGGCGCAGACAATTTCTCTATCTTTTGGAGCTTTAGGAGTAAATGATGTGATTGCTGCCGTTGTGTGTGTCTTAATTACTGAGTATGTGACACGATTCTACTACACTCGGCCTAAGGTGACTTTTCCGATTGCTCTTTTGAACAACTTCAAGATGGGTTTTACCTATGGTCTGTTCATCGATGCCTTCAAACTTGCCAGCTGAATTAATTGCCACAGTTTTGTAGCAGTAAGTAATTTTTGCGTGCAGTTTCCTCCTTTTGGGCTGTTTGTGGATATACAAGTCATAGAAATAGCGAAGTTCTTATTTCAACTGTGTTGGTGTTGTCTCATCTTTCAGAAAAATGATGTGAGAGTAACTCATTTCTTGTGTCTTGGAATCTTATAATCACCTTGGTTTGCTTACTGTGCTTTGGGAGTTGATGGAAGTTAAAACATTACTCCGTACAAGTTCAAGAAGTAAAAAGTTTTTATTTTTTTTACCTCTCCTAGGAGCTACTCCATCCGTTTACTTTTATTTGTCATGTTACATTTTTCGTAAGTTAATTTGACTAATTTTCAAAGTTAAATTAGATTATATTAATTCGATATTCTAAACAAAAAATTTAGATACTCAAAAACTATACAAAAAGTACTATAATTTGCAATTTTTTGTATATCAATATAATGAAAAAATACATCATAAAATATTGGTCAAGGTTCTTATAATTTGATTCTAAAACCATGACAATTAAAAGAAGTGGGGGGAGTACGACTTTTTATCTGCGAGAGTGCTTACCATTTGAGCAACCCCTCTTTCCAAAAAGTAAAAAGTGATGCCAAAATGAAGGAATTTTTAAGTGAATGATTTAATCTTCTTTGAGATATACACTTCTCTTATTTATATGCCCAGAAGATGAGGTCTAAAGAACAGCTCTTTTATAGAGAATTGGGTAAAAATTGAAGCAGTAGAATCTTGGAGAGCCTTTAATAGGATTTAATTTTTCTGTCCCAAGATGTGATGAAGGTTAAAATGCCTTCACTACCCGCCACTAATGAAGTGAATTCTAAAATGCCCTGATGGGGTTATTTGTACTCCAATTACTATGAAAATAACTCTAGAATAACATCCTTTTCTTTTTGCGAATCAGCATCCGTTAAGAAAAAATATTTTAGGAATAAAGTCACAGAGCCAGGTCTTGAACTTTGATGTCTGAATATCATTTGACTAAAGTTAAGTCTACTGGTTCGTTTATAGGGTCCGGCAAGATTTTGCCGAACTAGTGATCTTTCTCAGAGTGTACTGTGTTGTTCAAGAATCTGTATAACCTGCTTTCAATATTCATTAGTTGTTTCGTATGAGAAGTAGTTTTCTTCTATGGTTTTGGGTAATATGAGATATTGTTTCTTGAGACGTCTATGAATATTGCAGCCTTGGAGTTTTGAATAACTGGACTAGAAAACTACTCAATAAGTTTGATGATAAACTTACATCTAGAAGATCTTTGAGATTACAAAGGCTTCTTGGTACACTTAAAGTTAGCCTATTTGAATCCAAGTAAAACTTTTTTTAGAGAAAATTCAATTTCCCAAGGCATCCGGGAATTGGACCAACTATTTGATCTCTACTCAATACAGTTCACCCTGATTTTGCAACAGACAGAGACTATTAAATGGAGAGTGAAGCTTTTGTTTTAGTTATGGATTAATGGAAAGATATCCCTGGGTTTTAGTTATGAGATTAGTGCAGTATTACTAATATACTGGACCACAAAGAAAGTGAAGCTTTTGTATTTGCAGTGTGATTATGGTAGCTGTCATGCTGTCTTTGTCGGTGAATGAGAACTATTGAAAAATGAAATTAAGAAACTTTGCAGCTGTTAAGGGGTCAATATTGGATGAATTAAGAAAGTAATAAACCTAAGCCAAATGATGTAGAAATGAAATTAAAATTGTATCTAAATTCTTATGTATGCTCATTGACTGTTATTTGGTGTTCCAGGCAATGTTGGATTTTTAGCAGAAGTCATTGGATTTGAGTTGCCAAGTGTTATTGATTGAGCGGGTGATCTAAGTTGTTGGAAAAGGACTTTTCAGTCTTTTAGTTTTTTGTTATTCACCAATTAGAATCCACGTTCAACATTTGGGGTTTAAGTCTCAACCCCAATTGTGACCTGTGAGAGTGAAAAATATGGATTGCATTTGTGCTTTCAATCTAACAGTCGAGCTGTAAATTGTGAAAACTCTGTTCGACTTGGTAACTAAAAGAGCCTAAGCTTGTAGTTCAACATTTTACTGCTCTTCATAGACTATTGAAGCTGCTATCTCAATAATAATTCATGATCACCAGTATGATACTTTAGTACACATCTTATATATTAAATTTATTACATAAACATACTCAAACTTGAAACATGCACAAGAGGAAGGCACAAGAAATAAGAGAAGTCCGAATCTCAGACCAAATCATTGTTGGCAACTCAATTGGTGTCACCCAAATTTGCCAACGACAGGCATAAAAGGTGGCACTACCTGTACAAAAATTTAAATGGCATCAAACTTGAGTTGGCAGTCATTGCAGATAAAAACTCATAGCACACACAAAAATACACTAATTGTAACGGATACATGAGTTGTTTGCTTCCCTTTTCAACATTCATCATAATTTCCAAATGTTGGTCCTCATGAATTCTTGATTTACTTTACTCACTAATGAAGTTCTCCTTGATTATGTGACCAATTTCAAAACTAATGAAGTTCTCCTTGATTTAAGTATTATTATATTATTATTATTATTTTATTTTTTATTTTTATTATTATTATTTGTATGGAAAAAACCCATTTCTACACGGTATAGACAAGACAGTAATCTTTCTATTCCTGAAATGGGAAATAATTTCTCCATATGACATTAGAATGTTTTAAAAAGTTGGATACCTACCATTGCATAAACCTTGTTACATCATCTGCATAGAAATTCATGCTTGATCTTCTTCATATTTGCCAGGACATCTTTCATGTTGAGCCTCTCATTAGGAGATTCAGCTGTGCAATTCAATGCCAACTCCAAAATAGAGGTCACACAACACAACTTTTTGTTGAAATCAATCTCTTCAGGTTGCAATAAGGTGTCATCGATAATATCATCTGGTGCTACAGGTAGTGAATTACAGACCCAACTCCTCATGTTCAAATTTCCTTGAAACATTTCATCATATGGCCTTTTCCTTGTGAAAGTTTCCATGAGCATAATGCCATAGCTGTACACATCACATCTTCTAGAAACTAATCCAACTGATCCATACTCTGAGATCCAATATTACCAGAGTAATTAGTTTCTTGACGAGCCCGATAAAGAAATGAAAATATTATACATATATATGTGTGTGTTTGTGTCTGTATATATATATATATATATTTGCTAGATATTGAAAATAGTTGAATTTACCTTGAGTAGATAAGGACTTTAAAAACTGAAAGTATAATTGGAATGAAACAAGTGTAAGGCAGTCAATTGAAACGATATGGACTTCTAGCAGATAAAAGATGATATTAGACAGATCCAATCTATGAGTTCACTTAGCCGTTTCACTTTCACACATACCTTAAGAGAAGGTAACACTCCTGCTCACATGCTTGCTAACTTGGTTAAATAGTGCAAAATGACTACCTTCTTCACTGAGACTAGGCCTATAAATCTTCCGTTTAAGATTATATCCACATTGAAGAATGATGTAGTTGGCAAGCCTAACATTAGAATCTAAGTGAAGAGAACTACTTTCTTTTTGATCCTGGCTGAGTCTTCTTTGCTTGCTCTAAAATCCTAGAATTTATCTTTTTGTATGCTTAATTGATGTGGGGCAACCCTTAACCCCCCCCCCCCCCCCCCCCCACTTCTTCGTTTCCTCACTCCTAATATCGTAAATTTGTATTGCTGAGGTCAGGCATAGTCCCCCTCTATGCCCCTTTGGCTTATCTATTTAATATCCTCTGAGAGAACTTTTGATAAAAAAAAATTCGTAGATGCATGCATATAGAGTTGGACAGTCATATTTCAATGTTTTCTATACCATTTTTGTTCATACTTAATCTGTGATATATTACATTTTCTTTAATTAAGTTATCCACTCAGGCCTTCACCTAGTTTTAATGTGATGTAATAGTAAACTAATTTTTATGTAAATAACACATCATATGCGATATTTAAGGACTAAAAGAAAGTTACCTGGTGCAATGTAGCCCATTGTGGCAAGTGTTTTAGTATGAGCAATTGATTCCCCTTCTCCTAATAACTTGGTCAGGCCAAAGTCGCTCAAATGTCCAACAAACTTCTCATCTAGCAAGACGTTGCTAGGCTTCAGGTCACTATGCACAACAACTGTTTCATAACCATGATGGAGATATTCCAAAGCAAATGCAACATCTATCATTATGTCTAATCTTTGGATCATATTCAAGAAGTGATCATCAGAATGTAACCACAGCTCTAGGCTTCCATTGGGCATATACTCAAGCAGTAATGCTTTAAAATCCAAGTTAGTACAACTGCTGATAACTTTGGTAAGATTTCTATGACGAAGGTTGCGTAAAACTTCACATTCAGCATCAAAACTCTTTAATGCACCTTCAACCTGTAAATTAAACACTTTAATTGCCAAAGTCATCCCATTTCCAAACATGGCCTTGTAAACAGAGCCAAAACCTCCAGTGCCTAGCAAGTTGCATTGGTCGAACCCTTGAGTTGCCCTTTCAATTTCAATGTATGAAATCCTGGCTAGTGTGGTTGCAGCAAAGGACTCAGCTTGAGTTGGAACATTTCTAGTCCGACGTCTCCTTAACATAAACACAACGATTGAGCCAAGTACCATTACTGCAGCTCCCAGGAAGACAAGTATAATCAAAAGCAGTTTGCTTTTCCTTGAATGATGAAAAGACCTAGTCCTACAAGGTTGGAAAAGCAAACCGCCGCATAACCCTTCATTTCCCATAAAAGATTGAGAGGTGAAATTGAGAAAAGGTCCTTTACTTGGGATTTCACCTTCTAATCTATTGAATGATACATTGAGATCCTTCAGATGTCGAAGCGACTCTAATGATTTTGGAATCATACCTGAAAGAAAGTTATTGGATAGATTTGCTGATTCCAAACTTATCGTATTCTCGAGTGACTCCGGAATAGATCCTTGTAACTCATTATAAGCCGACGAAAGATAAAATAGATTCTGCAAGTCTCCAATTGTGGAGGGAATACTTCCTGAAAGGTGATTCCTGGAAAGATCTATGGATGTTATGGCTTTCAACTTTCCTAACTCTGGAGGTATAGAACCAACCAAGGAATTATTTGACAAGTTAAGATCCAAAAGATCTTTGAGGCTCCATAGACTCATGGGTATGTTAGTGATCCTATTTGAATTTAGATAAACATTTCTCAAAGAGGTTGCATTACCAATGCAAGACGGTATCGGACCCGAAATCCTATTATTAGAAAAATCAACCAAGCCCAAGGATGATAATTTGCAAAGGCACTGGGGCAACGGTCCACTTAACCTATTATCATCAATTGCTACCCTTTGAAGAATATGTAAATTACATAATGTTGTTGGCACTGATCCAGTCAAGTCATTGCGGGATAGGGACAAAGTGTTTAAGTTACTTAAATTCCCAATTCCTAATGGTATCTGACTCCTTATTTCACAACTATCTAAATAAAATTCCATAATGGTAGTGGAGAGATTGCCAATGGAATCTGGAATAACACCATCGAGAAGATTATGGTCTAAGTAAACTTCTTTCAATGATCTGCAGTTTGTCAATGAAGTTAAGATACTTAGGTGCAGAGAGAATAAGTTATTATTGGACAAGTCCAGATGTTCAAGATGCCTCAAACCCCCCCAATGAGTTAGGAATCTGACCACTGAATTTGTTACCATTAAGATATAATCTCATTAGATATGAGGAATTGGAGATTGAGGTGGGTATAACTCCACCAATGTTGTTTACACCAAGATTCAAAATCTCTAGATTTGTTGGCCAGTAGTTTGAAGCATATGGAAGACTACCCGAAAGGTGGTTAGAGAGAAGAGAAACCCTTGTAAGTGTAGAGATATTGAAGAGCTCTTCTGGTATATTACCAAATAAAGTGTATCCAATTTGTGAAGATTCCCAATCTCTCTGGGTATAACACCTGACACATGAAAGAGTATATATATCTTGATTAATTTATTTTATTGCCTCGGGATAACCAAACAAGACCACGTACGCTACCTGATAAATAGTTTGTGTTCAAATTAATCACCCATAGTCATGATAGGTTGGATATGGTGCGAGGTATTGAACCCACAATTTGATTGTTCTCCACTTGTATTTGCTGCAACTTTCGTAAATTACCAATCTTTGCTGGAATTGTGCCTGCAAATTATTTTGACAAGCGGCAAACAAACTTGTAAACCTTTTATCCTGTTGCTCAATTAACAAACTTCGAAATTAGCCTCATGCTAGAAGGCTTTTGAATATGGATAAACTTATTTTATAAAGTGAGAAAATAAAATGATAGCGTTGGGAGGGTTAAAATGGAGCGTACAAGGTTGAGATGAAGTATTAAAATGAAAAATAAAGACAAGTTAGATGTATTTTGCCAAATGGAATGGCCATCCTTAAGCAGCAATATAAATACAATTATTTTCTAAATTGAACAAGTAAAAGTGGACGAAAGGAGTACCGTGCAAGTTGTTTCCCCCGAGATTTAAGAGCTCAAGCCTCTCCAAGTTTACAATTTCTGGTGGAATGGTTCCACTGAAGTTATTGTATGACAATGAAAAATCATGCAATTCTGTGCAGTTAGACAAACCTGTTGGAATTTGACCACTCAAGTGGTTGGAAATGATTGAAATGCTCTTTATTTTTGCAAGACAACGACATATATCTACAGGAAGACTCCCAGTTAATTGATTATGTGATAGACCTAAAATTTCCGACGACGACATATTGAAAATGGAGAGCGGGATAGAGCCAGTAAATTGGTTTTCAAATAAAATCAACTCCTTTAGATACTCAAGATTCCCAATCTCTTTAGGGATATTGCCTTGAAGACGATTGTTTCTCACACTCAGAGTTTCTAACTTTGAAATGAAACCAAACCACACTGGTATCTCTCCGCTGACATTATTGAACGTAAAATCCATCACCTTCAGTCTACGTAAACGAGAAAAATCTTGAGGGAGGTCTCCATGTAAATTATTGTTGCTCACATCAAGAGAAACGAGGAGGGAGAGGTTTCCCAAGTTTGGGGGAATGGTTCCAAGAATGTCCATGTTGGATATATTTAGTTCAGTCACCCTATGGTGACGAGAGCCGCAAGTGACTCCAATCCAATCACAAACGGAGGATTGAGAAGACCAATTTTGAGTTAAGGGATGAGAAGAATTTAGAGTAAAGCTAGCTTTTAAGGCAAGTAGAGCTGATTGATCTGTTTTTATGTCTGTGGCCTCGAACAAGTAGAGTTTCAATAGTAGTAGTGAAACAAAGAAACAGTATGATCTCTCCATGGGGAACAAATTAAGTTTTCAGGCAGGAAGGGATAAATAAGAAGGTGAGATCAAGGTATATACATATATAGGTGCCTCTCTATGAGGTAATGGTATAATCTGTGTACACTTTATCCTCCTCAAATTTCACTTGAGAGGTTCAGACTGGATATGTTATTGTTGTTGTAATAGTGAATTAAACTTCAATAAATGTGAATAACATCCGTAAGATTGTTCATGTTATTAATTTGATGTAGTGTGCACATTTCCACAAATACATACTAACCTATTACCATTTTTATCAAGATTTTAATTATTATGATATTTATATTACAGGTTTTAATAGAATAAGTTTTCAAGAAATGAATATTTAGGTATATTTATATCTAGTACATAGTAAAGTTTTCTAGGTGGCCCATCCAATTTACTTACACGCGTAATTTATACCCCTAATTTTTGTTTACAAATCAACCCCCTTCCTCTCTCCCTTATTATATGCATTATGAATTTTTTACCCTTGACATTTTTAATCCTCCATCTATGGAGTAATTTTATTTTTTTTCATATAAAAAAGAGGAATGCTTATTGTTCAAAGTAAAGAGAATTTCTTTTCATTTTCAAATTTGAGGAGTGATTTTCACCCTATTTATATATTAGTAATTTTTTTTCTCTCTTTTCTCTCAAAATGTATCTAATCTTACAAAAGGTGAAAATATATTATATAAGACTAATTTATCATATCGAAGGAGATCTTTTCAACTAAAGTCTTACTGATTGTTTAAGGTAAGAAAACCTAAAACATTCAATGAATATTCTAAATCAAGAGGTTTATTAAAATCAAATATTATCATTTGGAATACTTATGTGAGGCAGCCTCTTTTAATATGCCATTGACTTTTTGAAAAATTGTAAACTTTTTCATTTTCAAGTGATGTAATAAGAACAATTTTAGGTAAAGTCGTACAATCAACTAGAGATTCGACGTAACATTCATACAATTCACTACAAGAAAACTGTGAATTACATAGGAATTTTTTTGGGAATTAGTATGAAAAGTTGCAGGAAAATAAGTTTCCTGCGAATTTTCATACTAATCCCCAGGAAAATCCCCATGTAATAGTTGTGATTATCACAAATATTTGGGTTTACCTTTTAATTTTTTTAATTTTCAATCTAAATGTCAAAGAATTGTCACTAGAGAATCTAGTAACTCAGTTGGATTATAATTATTATTAAGTTATATTTCTATTTTGTCTACCTATCGCACACTTCATTTCAACCAACATCATGGTATAAGTCAGGAAACAAATGGAAACCGATATCAACATGATATTTTTATTAAAAAAAGAAGAATGTTATGATATCAATTTATGGTGAGTTTATGTACACGCTAGAGGATTATAGTGACAATGTTTTTTTTTTTAAAAAAAAAAAAAAAAAAGTTTTGGCCAAATATACAAGTTAGGTTATCTATTTATCCCTTCATTTAGAGTTAATATTAATCATTTTAGACTAAATCAGCTTGATAGTAAATACCTACACAATTAAAATATAAACACATATTCTGTGTTGGATTTGTTATCAATATTTTAAATAGGCATAATACATAAACGTGTCATTTAACTTGTGCACAAATAAATACTTTTAAACTTGTATAAATGTTGGTCCATGAATTCCTCTTGGACAATCCAATTGTTGCATCGTATTACTTCTAAAGAAAATGTTAAAAGAAATAAAAATAATGCACACGCTAAATTTTACTTCAACATTATAATACACTGCTCTTCATGGACAATCCAATATTATACAGGGCATTCTTCCATTCCAACTGTAGTACACATCTTATATATTAAAACTTATTTTACCAAATGTCGACATATGCACAAGACAAAAACACAACAGTAACAAGAACACTTCAAATCTGGGAACAAATGTTGATTTTTGATCTCAATAGGTGTCACTCAAATTTGCTAGAAGCCAGGAAAAAGGCAGCACAACCTGCACAAATGTTCAATTGGAATCAAACTTGAGTTGACACAGCAAAAACAAACTAACAGTAATGGAGACTTGAGTTGTTTACTTCAGTTTTCAACATTCATCACAATTCAAATTTCCATAGGCAAAAATGTTGGGTTCTTCCACTTATAAAATCATGATTAAAGTTATGTTTCAATTAGTTCTTGTTTTTTCTTATACAAGTGGATATATTTTTATGGAAAACCAGAATATTCAATTCAATATTTATGTACGATATAGACAAGACAATAATTTTTTCTATTCCTGAGTAAGGAAATAATATATCTAGACGACATTAGAATATTTCAAAAAATGTGGATAGTTACCAGTGCGACGTACATCATTTGCGAAGAAATTCCAGCTTGATCTTCTTGATATTTGCAAGGACTTCTATCATGTTCAACCTTTCATTGGGAGATTCAGTTGTGCAATGCAATGCCAACTCCAAAATAGAAGACACACAATGCAACTTTTCCTGAAAATGAGTCTTTTCTGGTTCCATTAATGTGACATCAATAATATCCTCTGGCATTGCAGTTAGTGAATTGCAGACCCAACTCCTCATGCTCAAATTTTCTTGAAACATTTCATCATATGGTCTTTTTCTTGTAAAAGTTTCCATGAGCATAATGCCATAGCTGTACACATCACATCTTGTAGAAACTAATCCTACTGATCCATACTCTGATCCAATGTTACCAGAGTAATTAGTTTCTTGACGAGCCAAATAAAGAAATTAAAATAATAACTATATTTACACCCAAGGTTAATTGTGGCCTAATGGTTGATGAAGTGGATTGAGAACTATGAGGTTTCAGATTCAAGTCTCAAAAAAGAGACAAAAAACACCAGGTGATTTCTCCCCATGGACTGTAGCCTCGGTGGATAGAATTACCTAGTATATAATAAATTTAAACAATATGACCTCAAGTTTCTTTTTCTTTATTGTCATAGATGCATGAATATAAAGTTTGACAGTCATATTTCAATGTTTTGAATGCCACCTTTTTTCATGCATATATAATCTGTGATATATTACATTAGGTTTAAATAAGCCATCCACTCAGGCTTTCACCCAGTTCTAATGTGACACATAGTATTACAGCCAGTAAACTAATTTGATGTAAAATAACACATCATATGCGATAGTAAAACGACTAAAAGAAAGTTACCTGGTGCAATGTAGCCCATTGTGGCAAGTGTTTTAGTATGAGCAATTGATTCCCCTTCTCCTAATAACTTGGTCAGGCCAAAGTCGCTCAAATGTCCAACAAACTTCTCATCTAGCAAGACGTTGCTAGGCTTCAGGTCACTATGTACAACAACTGTTCCATAACCATGATGGAGATATTCCAAAGCAAATGCAACATCAATCATTATGTCTAATCTTTGGATCATATTCAAGAAGCGATCATCAGAATGTAACCACAGCTCTAGGCTTCCATTGGGCATATACTCAAGCAGTAATGCTTTAAAATCCAAGTTCGTACAACTGCTGATAACTTTGGTAAGATTTCTATGACGAAGGTTACGTAAAGCTTCACATTCAGCATCAAAACTCTTTAATGCACCTTCAACCTGTAAATTAAACACTTTAATTGCCAAAGTCATCCCATTTTCAAACATGGCCTTGTAAACAGAGCCAAAACTTCCAGAGCCTAGCAAGTTGCATTGGTCGAACCCTTGAGTTGCCCTTTCAATTTCAATGTATGAAATCCTGGCTAGTGTGGTTGCAGCAAAGGACTCAGCTTGAGTTGGAACATTTCTAGTCTGATGTCTCCTTAACGTAAACACAACGATTGAGGCAAGTACCATTAATGCAACTCCCAGTGAGACAAGTATAATCAGAAGCAGTTTGCTTATCCTTGAATGATGAAAAGATCTAGTCATACTTATACAAGGTTGGAAAAGCAAACCGCCGCATAACCCTTCATTTCCCATAAAAGATCGATAGGTGAAATTGAGAAAAGGTCCTTTACTTGGGATTTCACCTTCTAATCTATTGAATGATACATTGAAATCCTTCAGATACCGAAGTGACTCTAATGATTTTGGAATCGTACCTGAAAGAATGTTATTGGATAGATTTACCGATTCCAAACTTATCATATTTCCGAGTGACTCCGGAACAGATCCTTGTAACTCATTATAAGCCAAGGAGAGATAAAGTAGGCTCTGCAAGTCTCCAACTGCAGTTGGAATACTTCCTGAAAGGTGATTCATTGAAAGATCTAAGGATGTTATGGCTTTCAACTTTCCTAACTCTGGAGGTATATCAACCAACGCATTATTTGACAAGTCAAGTTCCAAAAGATCTTTGAGGCTCCATAGACTCATGGGTATGTTAGTGATCCTATTTGAATGTAGATAAATATTTCTCAAAGACGTTGCATTACCAATGCAAGATGGTAACGGACCTGCAATCCTATTATAAGACAAATCAACAAAGCCCAAGTATGATAATTTGCAAACGCACTGGGGCAAAGGTCCACTCAACCTATTATCATGAAGCCCTACAATTTGAAGAATGTGTAAATCACATAATGTAGTTGGCACTGATCCAGTCAAGTCATTGCCGGATAGGGTCAAAGTGTTTAAGTTACTTAAATTCCCAATTCCTAATGGTATCTGACCCCTAATTTCAGAAAGAAATAAATGAAATATCATAATAGAAGTGGAGAGATTGCCAATGGAATCTGGAAGAACACCATTCAGAGGATTCTCCCCTAATATTATTTTTTTCAAAGATCTGCAGTTCGCCAATGAAGTTAAGATACTTAGGTACGGAGACGTTAACTTATTATTGTACAATTCCAGATGTTCAAGATGCCTCAAATCCCCCAATGAGTTAGGAATTTGGCCACTGAATTTGTTTTCACAAAGATATATTCTCTTTAGATTTGAAGAATTGGAGATTGAGGTGGGTATAACTCCACCAATGTTGTTTGCACAAAGATTCAAAAACTGTAGATTTGTCAGCCAGTAGTGTGAAGCAGATGGAAGAATACCCGAAAAGTTATTGTTTAGAAGTGACACCCCACTTAGCGTAGAGATATTGAAGAGTTCTTCCGGTATGGAACCACTTAATTGATTAAATTGCAAATAAAGTATCTTCAATTTGTGAAGATTCCCAATCTCTCTTGGTATAACACCTGCCACATGAAAGTATGTATCTTATTTGATTGCATCAATCATCATCATATTATATTATCATATCATCATTATATCATATATATATATATATTATTACTATAAGTGGGAACAAAAAAGTTAAAAGAAGAATGTTAGGCAAAAATTAGATTACCATTTTACCCCTACATTAAATTAAAATGTTATAAGCTATTAATAAATTAAATCTTAAATAATAATTGTATCATATTATTATATTATTATACTAATGCTAATCAATATATACCTGCTTGTTTGTTTTATCCGTTTTTGGCTTTTGATATTCTTCCTAATCTAAATTACTCTCCATTTACCTATAAATGTTCACTTATTGCTATAATAATTATATTAAAGAAGGTGAATGAAGAGTTACACGGTATTAATTATGAGAGAAATGTTCACTTATAGCAAAAATAATGATGAAGAAGGAGAATGAAGAGTTGGGGTAATTTACTATCAGAGTCAATATTATATTTGTGTAGCAAAGAGGTCACCCGATGGTTATATAGCAAAAATGCATGATTGTTAAACAAACTTTTCATTTCACTCTAAATACATTAGTTGATCACTAATCACTTTCATTATATTCTTTTATTTTTTACAGGAGAAAAATATACATGTACATTCTAAAACTCCATACAGAGCTTGCAATGTGATGGGAATGGATGTTGGAAATCTTTGCGGAAGTTGATAATCATCTTTTCACAAAGTTGGCCTTCTAACAAGCATAGTAAGTAACTAATTAATACATTTTCATGTTTTGAAAACTTCTCTTTTAATATTTAATTTTTAGGCAATTATTGAAGGAATTCAGCGCGTTTTCACTGATTTACATATTTTGGGTAAGTGAGATGGAAACTCTCTTCTTCCTTTCTTTGTCATTTCACTTAATTATGTTATTTAAGTTGAACATCGAAAAGGTGCTACATTTATCTTTCTTTCATTAAATTTATTCCCTTTATTTTATAAGAGCTTAGTTTTTCCTGTTTCATATCATACATAGCTAGCTACAATCTTTGGAAGAAAATTATTATAGATAATAATGATGGTCATCTAAGTATTATGTTGATTACCTAATTTTTTATTGCATTCAACTAAGTACTGTCTCAAAGTGTACAAAAAAGGCATCCAGGTTAGTGACGTTTACGTGCACTTCTTAAATTTAGAGCAAGAGTTCCTTGATATGTTACATATCATCATATGTTATATTATCTTAATTAGTTTTACATAATTCAACATATTTTATTTTCCAAATAAATAACTAAAAGTTAAATGAAAAGAATTAGATGTCACCCTTGTATTTGTATAGAGAAACATATATATAGTTAGATATTTTAGTCTAGAAGATTATATTTGAAATCCTTCTTTTCATTTATTTTTGGATGCAAAAGTAAGCTTTATATAGAAACATATTTTTTTTTTTTGGTTTCCCACCCGGTGTCCGGTACCCACATTGGAGCCCAACTAAATCCGGATTCGCGCCGGGAAGTCCCACATTGGGGGGTAAAGCACTTCCTAACAAAGGCGACTCCGTATATAGAAACATATTAATCAATATACAAGCTTTATCGTATTTATAAAAATATAATTTGATAAATATTTATAGCTACATGAGATTAGACTTACATAAATTTTAGATCGTATTAGAAGATAAACGTGCAGCGCACGTTTCCAGAACTAGTTATATTATAAGCGAGAAGATTCAACTCAAAGTTAAATTACCATTTTACCCTTATATTAAAATAATTAAAACAAATGTTATAAAATATAATTAAATATTTAATAAATAACTCATTTAAATCGGTGCATGAATCAAATTCACATTAATAATTAATTTCTCTTTTGCTGTAAAAATCAAGAGTATTTGAAGAGTTTTTCCATTAAATAAATTTGATATGGACTAAAATCATTGAACTAATTTAATGCAAATTCATTTTATCTACTCAAAGGTCATCCTAGCCACTGCTATAAAATGCCTAGCATGGTCTTCATGTAAATGATAAGAGGAGGATGAGAGATTATCAAGCAAAAAATTAATCTTGCTCATCATTTTGTATGTGCAGTAATTTTCTTTTGTTTTTATCCACTCCTCTTTATCCAACCTAAGTATTTTGTATGTCCTTTTTTAATATTTTGATATACTTTCTTATGATTTTGTTCTTCTATTGGAATATCTTGTGTCCTACATGAAGAAATTAGTGTATACAATTCACGTTCTACTATATTTCTTAATTATTGATGAAATTCATAATGAAAGATCAAATTAATTAGTTAATTTGATATGCGACTCTCGATAGAGTGTTTTACTTTTGTATAAATATATTTTCGAGATTATTATTTATTAGTAGAGAGAGGAATAACTAAATGAGAAAAATCATTTTTAAAAAATAAAATAAAAAATCCATATCCTAAAATAAAATGGGCCACCAAATTGGCAATAAACGATGGATCATAGTATGTGATTTTGAGGCTGTATTTTTATTTAACTTTTTGTTTATATTGTATAATCTATTGACCTTATTAGTCTATTACTCCCTCCGTCCCATTTTATATGTCACTTTTTTAATTTGCACTTGCATAAAGAAATGATGTAACTTTACCCTTCTACCCTTATTTAATTTTTCTGGAACTCAAGTTTTCAATCAATGAATATGAATTAATTTATTTTGATTAATTAATTTAACCAATGAACATGAATCATTTACTTAGCTTTTCTAAGTTGATCAAATGTATATTTTCAAGACTAATAACTCACAAGGGTAAAAAAGGAACAATATGGTAATTTATGCATTGATTTTATGAAATGACAAGAATTATGGACCAACTATTTATAGAAATGGATGACATATAGAATGGGACGGAGGGAGTATTTATTTGTGGAAACGTTCATTCCTAAAATTGACCACATATCTAGAATAAGTCATTTTGAAAAGTTTGCGTTGCTCAATTTATATTAATTATTCAAAGAGAAATTTTATGAAAAAAAGAGCATTATTCTTTTCTCTTCATAAATCATATGTACAGTACTTCTCTAAGGTTATAAAGATGTATATGTGATGAAATAATAAAAATAATTGACATAATAATTATGGTGATGGTTGTAAGTGTGTTTCGTAATATATCAAGTGTTTATATCATTTGCATAAGTACCAAATTGATGAGGTCTTTTAGAACATATAAATTGTATGCATCAAACGTCTATTTACTATGATGAGAAGCTATTTATTGTTGATGTAAAATTTTAATTATGGCTGGAAAATTATCAAACTCCAATCTCCTGATTATTGGCTGGACCCATAAATAGTTAAGTAGTAATTGTCCAAATTAAAATGTCTGCTTTTGCCTTAGAGATATTATTTTATTTAAGAGAATGTGATATTCTTCCGCCTAATTATTGAATGTTAATTATTACTCATACCAATAATTTTTTTAAATTGAAAGTTGAATATGAAGAGTCATTTCTCCACTATTATGTAAAAACACATTCAGAAATAAAATTTCAATATGCTTTTTAAGAACCAATTTATAATGATTGATGTTATCATAGGAAGAAAATTGCACAATTCAACATGAGAAGAAAAGAGAATGAGAAACTGCAAATGAAGGATAACAAAAAATGCTCGAGTATATCATCTATTTAATGTTCTTCTTCATAGCATATTTTTATTTTTAGTGAATAAAATATAAATGGTAAAACTACTATTGTTAATTTCAGCATTTCCTATTTTATAACTCAACTTTTTAGTATATAAAAATTTAATAATAAGGGACAAACTAGTATAATATATAGAGTTCATAAATCAACAATTCATTACATGCCTAGTACTTGTCTTAATAACCAAACAAGGCCATGTTACCTGATAAATTGTTTGTGTTCAAATTAAGTAGCCACAGT